ATGAAGTGTATTGATTTGGTTCGAGCAAAGAATCTTTTGAAAATGTGTATTGATTTTTATGGTGGAAGTGAAACTGTTTTTTTAGTGTTATCTACAAAATTGTATGGAACAATTGTGGTTCTAGATGCACATAAATTTACTTTGCTGTGGAGCTTACTAGAATGGTATGGAAATAATATTGACTAGAATATATAAAATGTGTACAAGAACTTCTCCAACGAAATTTGGCTGATTGTATGTTCCAATTTGTTTATTACCCCAGAACTCAAGTGAATTAATAAATATGTATGTATGTATGTATACAAGTATATAGGAAGCAGTTCGCTGGAGATTTCAGGTTGCGTTAGAGCGTCTACCATCAGTTATGAAAATATATTTGAAGTGAAGTTGCCTTAAGCTACATAAGAGTTCCCTAGGACTTAGTAATTTTTAATTGTGTGGGAAGACTGATAAAACCATTCTCCGTTTTGAACAGAGATGGTGTTGAACAGACAGTCACATCTGCAACTATCAGACTGCAGAGTTTGACGGTGGGTACACCTTGGAAGTTTGCTTCACTGACAGAAGCTACAAGCCATGCTTCCAATCTTCATAGATCCCACTGCTTTTGATTCGGAGAATTTTAGTGACGAAAATTTAGGGTAGCGGTTGGCCTCTAAACTCGTCCTTATTGTAGGCAGTGACTATCTTCATTTGCATTTTCAGAGATGTTACTACAATATTCTGTGCAACGCATCATTCGATCTCTATACTGGGTTTGAGGTCACACTGGAGTCTCGGTAAATGAGGATTGTGATAGATGGGAATACGACAAAAGGGTCGCTACAAAACTAGGGGAACCGAATTTCGTTCTTAGTTTTATGTTTGGATTGTTACCCATAAACATTGTTATAATAGTTCCCTTACGGTAAAATGGCTTACGGAGAATTCTTAAATGCACTCACATACATACTTACTATATGTACATATGAACAAAAAGTACACCAAAAGCAGCAGCAAAAACAAAAATTTTCAACACTCTGATTGGATTATCGATTTAATTGACCCATTTCAGCAAAATTCCTTATCTCTTTCCTCCATTTAATTCCACTAGCTTTATCCAAATAGCTTACATCATCAGTCACACATACATATGTATATATGTACAAATGTATACTGGTAATTTATTTTTGAGCAGCTTACGCGTTGCAGCACTCACTGAGTGCAGCGAGCTTTTGTTGTCGTCACATTCCCTTTCATTTGCCACTTTAATTGGCTCTTTTCGTAACGTTGACCTTTTTACCATTTTGCTATTTGCTGTTTTAACCTTTGCCTCATGCGCTATGCCACGTGTCCACACTCTCCTTCCGTCGGCTTTCCACCCTTTACATACCACTTTGCCTTTCATTGTTAAGTCAATACACTTGGCACCACAGGTAAATAAGTAGTCTGTCTGTCAGCTTTGTTTATGCAACAATTTTTCTCCTGCTGCTTTTAAACAGGCCATGAAAATCATTATTATCCCACACCGTGCACTGACCTATACCAATCATGCTGAAGATATTGCTGGATTAAGAAAACTGACGTTTATAAATCAATTGTGACGATGATGCAAGAGAAATACAAATAAACAAAACAAAAAAAAAAAATTTATAGCCGCAAGTGATGGCGTGTGTGTGGAAAAAAGGGAGAGAATCGGCGCCTGAGGGCGAATTGTCGTGCAGCATCTGTCTTATGGCATATGGTCATAAATATATACACATGTTTATATATACATATGCTTGTGTATGTACATAGGTACCTATATACCCCAGTGATGAAATTGATGGTACAAATGTACTTTTTTGGTACATTTTGGAAGCCAAAAGTACATTGGTACTTTATTGACATTTTTGATACATTTTTGTCAAGATACGGTACTGCACTACAATTACATATGTCGAAATACCACACTCTATTTACTTGGAGTTTTGAATTTTTGTGCATAAAAATATAGTCATCTTTTTCTACCTTATTTAAATAAGCACGTGGTGTTTATTAAAAACGAAACTCTTACTTAAATAAAAAAAAGTTTCTATCATAATAGGTCTATTCATACAATTTTCCAGTAAGTACTAGTAGCCAGAGAATAAAAGAATCATAGCGAGTAAAATTGAGGGGAAGACTAAAATATTAGAAAAAGTTATTGAAAGCACTAAAACTTACGCCATTCTGACTTGCTGATAGGTAAGTAAGTTTTTTTCTACCAAATATTTTTGATACCACATCAAGGCGCATTCAAAAATAAAAGAATCTCCTCCAAGCACCCTTCCTTGTTTCACAAAAATTAAGTAGATATAGCTCCAACTGTGACTTTAAACTTATCCCATTTCCGTTTTATCGATCAACTGACAAATTCGGTCAGAACCTTTCAGCATTATTATCTATTTTGGTATATTTCTCAGTGTTTTGCGTAAATTCCGTCCAACAATTTTTTCATCCACAATTGAATAATTTTATACGGCAGCCATAGTTGACGCACGGAAATTAGAAAATTATAAATTAATAGTAAATTAATTAAACTAAACTTTTCTTCCTTTCTTTTGTTTATTCGCGAACACATGTTGTGGCCAGCAGACATTTACTTGTAAGTTTTCGTAGGTAAAACATTTTCCAGCAGAAATTGGCAGACCTCAATGTCATTTTACGCTCCGCTTTCCCCCACTTTGCAAGATTTTATGTAGGAGAACACTGCTATTAACTTGTTTATTTCTATATAAAGGAAATATTTTGCAAAATATTTTTGTAAAACTTCCATTCCGTTATATGCAACGATTTTGTTTTTAATTTTTGTATTACTAGCACTTAATAAGTATAACTTGTATGCTTTTCTTGATTACCTTGGCGTTTTGGTGGCATTTTCAAACAATTGATTTGTACTTATGTTTTCCACCTTCGAAACGCCATGTTTTATATCATGATTTTTATACAGAAAATCTAAAAACATATGTATATGTAACTATGTTTGTATGGTCTTTTAAATGTTGGTACTTTTTCGGCTTATTTAGTACACTTTTTTGGGCATTTGGTACAAAATTAAAAAACTCATTTATCATCCATGATATACCCATGTATAGTTTATGTAGATATAAGCAAATTGGCGCTGTCGCCCGCATACACTTACTTGTTAACAGTGATCGGACTTCTACCACATTGAGCATCTACCTCATCTACCACATAAGGTCTGAAATCTACCACATATTCGCGTTTTTGAGTAGTTTTATTTTTGATCGACATAGTTTTCTTAGTTTTAAGAGCAAAAATTGTCCAACACTAAACACTTACAACGAAGGCGAATAGGAGGATAAAATAAACTGTAAAATAACAAATTCTCAATTATCAATTTATCGATAGGAAACGTGCTTTTATTCTATTAAATTGCAAAATATATGATTTGTAAAAAGAATTAATAAGGAACATGTTAAAAACGGGCGATTTCTGTGAAAGTAAATATTAGCAAATTTCAGTGCATCAAAAGTTTCTTAGGCGTTGTTTTATTTTACTTTAGAATTGTCAAAACCGGCAAATCCCAAGTAGCGGTTTCTGGAAAGTGCCTCATTTATTCGCTGATGTGATAAAAAAAAACCTGGCAGCACTCCGCAAGGTTGCAGAAATCTCTCAAAATATGTTCGAAAAATATCTTGATATGGAAGGAATTGCTTTACACTGTCAAGGAAAAAAATTGCCAAAACTCAACGCAATTTTTAGCAACTTCAATCTTGCACTTTATTATACTAAACTTAATTTTTTTTTGTAGATTCTGATTAAAATGTTTGCAATTTAGGTGAAAGCTTGCAGAATTTTTTAATTTTTGTACAAAGTTTGATCCAGAACCAGAGATCTACCAAATCTACCACATTTTTTTCCAGATTCTACCACACAAATTTTTTTGAAGTCCGATCACTGCTTGTTAATGGCTGAAAGAGCAATTTGAATGCTGTTGCTATTGTTCAATGTTTGAGCGCCTCTAGCTTGCCTTTGGTTTGTTACCATCGCCGCTGGCATGTTTACCAACAACGTCTCTATATACTATCTACTACACATGAACGCCCCCGAAAAAAATTGCACAGCCCCCAATGATTTTATATTGTTTTTGCTTTGTATTTTTGGATACTCTTTGGTTTCGATTTGAATGTTGTGAATTTTTTTTTCGGTCGGCACGATCTGAATTTTGATGTCTTCTATTAGCGCGCTTCCATGTGGCTTATGAGCAGCATAATTTGTTCGTGCTTTTTAAATGTTTTTTTTTTTTTTTTTTAATAATGGGCGCTATATACAGTGACTTAAAAAAATAACCCCATGTTAATTTTTTTTAATATGTTTTTCGAGCTAAATTTTATTTGTTATTTTTGTATAAAAATACCTTCCAAGCTTTAACCAAAAACATATAAATCTCAGTTTCAAACTTTCAAAAAAAAAAAAAATTCTAAAAAATCAACGGAATTTTTCCGTTGAAAACTGTTTTTTACCGTTTGAAACTTGCACTTCGTTAGAGTGAAATTGTATGGGCTATAAAACTGCATATCCAAAAATGTTCTAAAGTTTAAGATAGAAAAGTTGAAATTGAGATGAAAATTTGTTGAATTTTCCTAAATTTTGTATAAAGTTGGAAACCGTGATTTATGTATATGCTTTTGGTTAAGTGTTTTTATAGAGAAATAATAAACAAATTTAGCTCGAAAAATTTTCGGAATTTTTAAAACAAGTCAACACGTGGTCAGGTCATTTGTTTGACTCACTGTATGTATTTCAGCGCTCATATATGCATATGTATGAATAAAAATACGTATATTTTTTTTGTGGCATTCTTCCATTCAAGGTATGCTTTCGTAATTTCACTTTCGTTCCAGCATATATACATATCGATGATGTATTTTATGGCACTTAGATTTTACCGGAGAGCGAAAAGAGCGGACTTTCTTTGAAGGCATTGCCTTGGTAGACGATATTTTCTATAGCTATTATTTAACAA